CGTAGAATCGAATCATCCATGGTCTTAGGTAACATACCAAAGTAGAAAACATCCATTCCACGCCTTATGACATAGTCAAAGGTCACTAAGGGCACAATGTAAGGTTTATCTAAACCTTCATAGGACTCACATGGTGAAGAAGCAGGGATTCATTCTTCCACCTCCTATATAGGTCGTAAAAGCACATGTAGTATGAAATACATGTTACAGTGGAGTGTCTCTTTTCTCTAATAAGAGCGTATGTCAAACTCAACACTGTACAGATTTTAATCTAGTCGCTCCTTTAGAGCCTAACTTGAGTATCCTATTTGCTCGCCCTCTTAGGCGCCAAATTAGATTTCACATCTGGCTTACTTTACAGGCTAAATGGATTGTGGGTCAATCCATTTTCGGTCCTTTTGTCAATCATAACTATATTGACCTCATCTTGGCTCCAACCAAGGCAACATCTCAATTATGCTCTTGCCGCTCTCAATAAGTGCTAGTAGCTTGTGTCTCATCTTTGCTCGCCCCTCATAGGCGCCAAAGGCGATTGCTCATGTGAGTGAGCCAATCTAAAGCCTATTGACATACTCCTAAATCTTGTGTGCAAACAATTCATCATAGAATACATGCATGAGTTTTATTAATATCCAAAAACCAAAAGTTCAACATAAATGATCAAAACAACATAATCACCATCGACGAAGTCCTAAAGACTTTACATGAGTCACATAAGCTTCCCTAGGAATATGCTTAGTTAAGGGATCAACAACCATATGATTAGTGGATATATGTTCTAAGATCACTTCCTTATGTGCTATCAAATCCTTAATGTAGTTGTTTCTCATATCAATGTGTTTGGTTTTACCATCATACTTCGGATCCTTAGTTTAAGCGATTGCAGCCATGCTATCACAATGAATAGTCAATTGGATTTAACGCGCTAAGTACTCATAAGATCCCAGGAAATTGCTTTAGCCAAACAGCTTCTTGCACGGCTCCATAGCGCGCCATGAATTCTGCCTCAATAGTAGTTAAAGCAATGCAAGACTGTTTCTTGCTCTAAGATGTTGCACCACCATTGACCAAGAATGCATATCCTGAAGTTGATTTGCGCTCATCTAAGTCTCCACCTCAATCAGCATCAGTATAGCCAATTAGGTTTAAGTTTGAACGGCGATAACATTGCATGTTAATCAGCAGCTCCTTTAAGATTGCGCAACATTTTTTCACTACTTTTCAATGAACAAGCCCATGGTTAGATTGGAATCTTCTAACCAAACCAACTACAAAGTTGATATCTGACCTAGTGCATATCATGGCATACATAAGACTGCCAATAACACTAGAGTATGGAACATGGGCCATCTGTTTTTGTTCATCAGATATCTTTGGAGCTTGTTAAAGACTTAAAGTCTCACCTTTTGCGATAAGAGTGTCTATGGGTTTGCAATTTTGCATCTGGAATCGTTCAAGGATCTTCTTTATGTATATCTCTTGAGATAAACCAAGAAGCCTCTTTGAATGATCCCTTAGGATCTTAACTCCGAGCACATAATTTGCTTCACCTATGTCCTTCATTTCAAAATTTGAGGACAACCACTTCTTAGTGGCGACAATTATCTCCATATCATTTCCAACCAATAGCATGTTATCAACGGATAATGACAAAATGACGAAACTTCCCTTGGATCACTTAACATACATGCAAAGATCCTCTTCATTCATCTCAAAGCCATTCTCAACAACAGCTTGATGAAATATAAGGTACCATTGCCTAGATGATTGCTTTTGGCTGTAGATCGTTTGAGCTTGCAAACTTTGCGCTCATGAACCTTTGCTACAAAGCCATCAGGTTGATCCATGAGGATCTTATCATCTAGCTCTCCGTTGAGAGATGTAGTTTTGACATCCATCTAGTAAAGTTCCAAGTCAAAATTTGCAACTATGGCTAGAATCAAGCGAATTGAGGCAAACCTCACTGCCGGTGAGAAGGTTTCCTCATAGTCCACACCTTCTTGTTGTGTGTACCCTTTCGCTACTAGGCGAGCCTTATATCTTTCAATGAAACCATCCGCCTTGCTTTTAACTTTGAGAACCCATTTGTTCCCAATAGTCTTACGCCCAGGTGGTAGGTCAACCAAGTCCCAGACATGGTTAGTCCTTATTGACTCCAACTCATCATTCATTACATTAGTCCATTCTTGAACAGCAAGGGATTGAGCTTCTATAAAAGTTTTAGACTCAGCTTCATCTTGCAAAGCAATCATAAACTCTTCCCCCTCAACCTCAAAACGGCGACGAGGGACACTTCCATGTTTGCTACCACAACTGAGCTTGAGGATCCTCATCTATCGGCATAGATGAACTTGATGGTAAATCGCCCCCATTGTCCCCGAGAGTTTGAGGAATTGCTCCCTCATTCTCAATCGGACTACTTGGTGCTCCCATATCTGTATCCTCTTTTTCATAGAGATCTATCTCTTTCTCAACTTCCCCTATTCTTGGGAAATCTTTTTCTAAGAAATCCACATCTCGTGACTCAATTTCAGTCACTGTTCCGTCTCCATGCTCTCCTATGAACACATACCCTTTGGAATGTTCTGAGTATCTTATGAAGATACACTTTTTCCCTATAGGGCCTAATTTCCCATCCTTGTGAGAAGTTGTGTGAACATAAGCAACTGAACCCCAAGGCCGCAAGTTACCTAAATCAGGTTTTTCGCCGTGAGTGGGGCTGCAATTTTTGTTTTAAAAACTGTTTTTACGAGATTCATTCTCCGTGAGTGGCGCGTGCAAGTCTCGCGCCACCTTCGAGTCAGAATCAACTCTCGATTTAAACATGAAAGTTGTTCCTGGTAGCAGCCAAATTCTGTTGGTGCTCTCAGTGGGCCTATTCAGTTAAGTGGTGGATCCCACGCGCCGCCTTCGAGAGTGGGATAGGCTTCTGCGCTTCTCACTTAATTCTGATTTTCCAGATTTCTTTTCTTTTCAAATAAGTTCCTTTCAATTAAGTCCCTGAAACTTAAAACGTAAAATTCTCCCAAGATAGAAATCCGATTTACGCAAATAATATACCGATGGAAAGCTAAGGAAATAAGGATTCTAATGGTATAAGTTTCATCCATCAGTTCTCAGTTTGCCCAGATCGGAATTTATGGTCAAAGTTACGATTTTGACTAGTTTGACCGGAGATATCTCAATCGATACAAGCCATTTGAATCTCAAAAATAGCAGATCATATAATCATCATATTATGATCAAATCACCAGAATATCAAGGCCTAATTTCATGCTTTTCTATTAAAACAAAAAAAACATGCCAAAAAGTCATCAATTGAGATCACAAACACGAAAAGATCCAATTAAGCTCGGATACCAATGTAGGAAAAAACATGATATATGGAACAGAGCATTCAAAGCATGGATCAAAATAAATCATGTTACTCAAATATTTAATTTGCGGAAGCGAAAGAAATCAAACCAGGATTTGGTGGGTCAATTACGGTGTTTCTGGATCTTCAATACTCGTCGTGGACTTCTGCTACAGGGATGAGCAGAAACCTCACTCTTCACAGTGCAAAAACCCTTTTTGCTTAACAATGGAGGGAGAAGCTTTTTGTAGAAAGTTCTAACTTTCTGCTGAAAAACAAGAGTGATCAACTTACGTAGTTTTATTTTCTCTTTTATATGTGAGTGGTTGTATTCCACTTGAATACTACCTAGGTAATTTGTTATTTAATTCCCAAGGAATTTATTAAGAAATTATCTCTAATTATCTTGTTAATTTAATTCTAATTAAATTACCAAGACAATTACTTGTTGGGTTGGACCATCATGGGTGTAAAACCCAAATGTCCAACACGACCGAACTCGATGCTTTCTGGCCATGGCGTGTCGGTTAATCGGTGCTTATCGGTTTAGTTGGCTTTAATCGGTGTTAGTTGGTTTACAATTGCACAACACAGTTACGCACTTGGTGACTTGGATTATGATTTTTGCTTAGTAATTGAGTTCAAAGCCTTGGAGTTAATGGCTTAATATATGTTTATTTATGGCCATTTACTTCAAAGTTGTAATTGTAAAGTTGTCCAATTGAAGTTCAAATCAGTGTAAACCTTTAAACATATATTTACATTTCTAAGAAAGTTTATTTTTTTGCATTTACAACTTGTATTGTAATTGTAATTCACAAACCGACTAAACCGCCATAACCGACCGCACCGACGGCGGTCAGTGGCTGGCGGTTATGTACCCTTGGCGATCGGTTGTCGGCGCTCATTCCCCCTCTGTCGTTTGTCAGCGATGGAAGGGAAATTCCAATTCCAACCGACCGATAAACACCCCTAAAAATAAATACATGTAAATGAACTCAGTCCACTCATCAAATATCTAATTGATAACTATGGAAAATGGAAATATGTCCTTACAGATTTTATCACTAACTATTAATTTCATCAAACCATTTAGGAGATATATATGATCTTCTTAATCCCTGTACGTTTATGTTTAAGTACATAGGAGGAGGAGGAGGAACTAAATTTAAGAGGGTCGAACTCGAACCTTAAAACATTATATGTACTTGATTAAGGGACATAATAACAATTAAAGTTTTGGTGTTTATGTTGAAATCCCATAATGCTCACCCACAATTTTTAAAATGTTTATGTTGTACTATATTATCTAATTAGCAATCAACTTAACATGGGATTAGAGGTTTTTCTAAATAAACATGGTATCAGAGTTAATTTAAGTACCAATTTCGTAAAAATTTTAATGTAACGAGAAATAAGGAAATGAGATTGTCTACCTAAACAAGTAATGAGTCTCAGAATTTGATAATTAGGTGTTTTTGGTTCTAAAAAGATGAAAAGTATCGTTAATGTGAAATTAGTAACAACAATTTAAACTCAAAAGCAACTTCAACCTAAAGCATCCTTAAAAAAAGAAGATTTTAACCCGTCATATAGGACAAATCACATTTCAATACACCTAATTGCTTTTGGTAGCGCAACTACAATGAACTACCAAAAGAATCTTTTTGCATATATCAAAAGCAGCTTCAATCAGGTCCTTACAGTAGATGACAAATTTGGAGGTAGACCTGAACCTTTGAGATGTATGGAACAATTTCGTGTTGTTGTTGATAGGTGTCGCCTAATTGATTTAGATGTTTCTGGTTGTACGTTTACTTGGACAAACAAACAAGAGCCTGTCCTTTTGATTAAGGAGAAATTGGATCGTGCACTTTATAATGTTCATTGGAGACACTATTTTTCTGATGTTCTTGTTCGGAATTTACCGAGAGCTCATAGTGACCACTGCCCAGTTCTTGTTTCTCTGCATGGTTTGACTAGTAGTAATCCTTCTGTTCGACCTTTTCAATTTGAAGCTGCATGGCAATCTCATGCTACTTTTTCGTCAGTTTTGTCATCTTCCTGGGATACTGCAAAGACTTCTAATCACTCCCTATCTCATCTTCGTGGGGTGCTGGGTGATTGGAATAGAGACATATTTGGAAACATTTACAAGAAAAAGTGGCAGTTCATGGCCCGTTTAGGTGGTGTTCAGTGTGCTCTTGAAACTAGGCCGAATCTTTTCTTGTATCGGTTAGAAAAGGAGTTAACTGCTAAGTATAATTTGGTTTTGTCACAAGAAGAGATGATTTGGTTTCAGAAATCACAGTCTAATTGGGTCCAATTTGGGGATCGTAATACTAAATTCTTTCATACCACTACTTTGATATGCCGAAATCGGAATAAGATCTCAGCTTTGAAAGGTGATAATGGTGATTGGATTGTTGATTCGGAGATAATTAAACAACTTGTTCTATCTCATTTCCAATTGGTTTACCAAGCGGAAAGGATTGATGTTGACTTTGAGAACTGTTGTCTTAAAATTCGCATGCCTTTGAATGATGAGCAGCTCATGCTTTTGTCTCATGTCCCTCAAGAAGATGAGATTCACAGTGCCCTTAAGGCTATGACCCCTTATAAATCGTCGGGTCCTGATGGATTTCAAGCAGCCTTTTACCAAGCTAACTGGGAGGTTGTACGGGAGTTGGTCTATAATTTTGTGAAGAATGCTTTTATTACGGGGCAGTTTGAGGAAGATCTAAGCCGAGTTTTGATTGTGTTAATTCCTAAAGTCGAGTCTCCGGTGAAGGTAACTCAGTTTCGACCTATTTCACTATGCAATGTCATGGTCAAACTATTATCGAAATTTTTGGTAAATCGACTTAGGCCAATGCTTAAAGATTTAATTTCTCCAACACAAAGCAGTTTCATTCCTGGTCGTGGTACAACTAATAACATCATTGTGGTATAGGAGGTTATTCATACTTTGTCTAGGAAGAAAGGAAGGGTTGGTGGAATGATTATGAAAGTATATTTGGAGAAGGCTTATGATCGTATCAGCTCGGACTTTCTTCGGTGGGTTCTTATGGATCTTGGTCTCCCATCTACATTGATTAATTTGATTATGTTTTGTATTACTTCTACATAGATGAATGTTTTATGGAATGGGGAAATGACGAAGTACTTCTAACCATCAAGGGGTCTCTAGTAAGGTGATTTTTTGTCCCCGTATGTTTTTGTTCTCTACTTCTAGAAATTGTTTGATATGATTGATTCAACTATGGATTTGGGTTCTTGGAAACCAATTTCTATGACCAGAAAGGGGCATACTCTATCACATGTTTTCTTTGCAGACGATTTAATTTTATTGGGGGAAGCTTCTGCTGCACAATGTAAAGTTATGGTTGACTGTTTGAATCTTTTCTGTTCCTTTTCTGGTCAGAAGGTCAATTTTGCGAAGTCTCTTGTCTATACTTCGCCAAATGTTCCTCCACAGTTGATGAGTAGTATTGTTGCTCAAACTGGCATATTCTTTTGTGATGGTTTGGGGCGCTATTTGGGAGTTCCCTTACATCATTCTAGGGTATCTCACCACACATATGATCATCTTATTGATAGGGTGAAGAAGCGTTTGGCATCATGGAAAGCTAATAGTTTATCTCTTGTAGGCAGGGCAACCCTTGTATAGTCTGCTACTAGAGTAATCCTGTATACACTATGCAAACTTCCAAATTGCCTAATTCTGTTACTAAACAGATTGATTCGTTTAATAGGGATTTTCTCTGGGGCTCCACTGCAGAAAAGAAGAAGGTGCCACTTGTTAAGTGGGATTCAGTGTGTCGGTCTAAAAGCTCTAGAGGTTTGGGTTTCCGGAAGCTTGGTCTTATGAATTAGGCCTTGCTAGCTAAAATGGGTTGGAAGTTGGATAATGGGGACCCTGGTTTATGGGCGCGAGTCTTAAGAGCGAAATATCTTAAGGGCCAGAGTTTTGTAAGCTCCAGTATGTCTTAATGTTCTTCTCATACCTGGTGTAGTATTCACTCGGCCATGAATATTGTTCTCCAAGGCATTGCTAGGCTTATTGGTGATGGATTCACTACATCCTTTTGGAGGGATAAGTGGTTGGGGGGGGGGGTGCTTTTTTGGCAAATATATGTGATGTTGAGGTTTCGATTTCAAATGCAAACGGAGTTGGTTTCGGACTATGTCTCTTCATTGGGTTGGATTTGGGATAAACTTCAATTACTTCCAATTAATATTCATGAGGAATTATCCCTTGTTTTGCCTACTCATGGGGAGATGGATCGAAATTATTGGTTAGACTCATCTGATGGTTTGTTTTCTGTTTCGTCTACCTATAAGTTACTTACTAGTGAGCCCATTGATGATTTTGGTTGGAAGAAACTTTGGAAGATAGATGTTATGCCCAGAGTAAAGCATTTTCTGTGGTTGGTTCGACATGATCGTCTTCTCACTAGAGTAGCTTGCTTCCGCAGACATATTACTCCTGTTGCAACTTGTCCTAGATGTGGGGCTACTGAAGAACCTGTTCTTCATGTTCTTAGAGATTGTGGCACGTCTCAATCAATTAGGTCTCGTTGGTTACATGGTGCCAAGTTGGTTCGTTTTAATTCTTTGAACTTGAATGACTGGTTGCGTTACAATTTTGCTTTGAGTAGATTCTGGGTGGAATCTCAGGTTCCTTGCCCTGTGTATTATAGCTTCGTTTGTTGGCATATTTGTAGATGGCGTAACTGTTGCGCCAAAAATTTCTTAATAGAGTTTTCGCGAAAAATTCTTAATGATAGCATGGGGGCATGCCAGTCAATTTGCTGAAATTGACAAAGAGGATGTAAAAACTAAATCTGGTGTGCGTAGCAGCAGAGAAAAAGATCAGAGCGATTTGTGGGGACTACATCAAAGTCACACCGGAGAATTTAAATCATTGGATCCACAAGAACAAGACTTCCTAAAATAGCGCTTCAAGAGCGGTTGTTGATTGAAATTGAAATTGGGGGAAAGGAGCAATTTGATTGCTTTCTTTTCAAAGAGAAACAAGAATTTGATGTTTTAACGTCCGTAGACGAGATTGAAACAAAGAAAATGTAAAGAAGGAGTAAGAACTCGTGATGAACAAGAGAAAAAGGCGCGGAGCTTGAGAAAATAAGCACGAAGCTTGCTTTTTTGCGTGGAGCAAGTTTGTGAGATGAGTGATATCTGTCTGGAGCTCTGGAACTTATTCCTTTATATAGGGGGCGGCATGGGCTTGAAATCTGGTGGGCTTTACTTGCTGAGGAAGGCAATTTCATCTCATTGGTCAAATGACATCTCTAGGAAGGTGCAGTGAAGCTTCCTTCTCCTTCTGATTGCTTCCAACAGGTGAGAGGAGGGTGAAGAGGAGGCTAGGACGTCTCCCTCTGATGTATCAGGCGTAAAATTGTCCTTCTGATGTATCAGGCGTAAAATCGTCCCTCTGATGTATCACATGGCATGCCTTATGATGCTTCCTATGGACTAGAATCTCCTGATATGGCTAAGAAGTGGCCCTCTGACCTGGGTCTTGGAACCTTGGCACCATAGCCACGAAATTCCTTCTTACTTAGCCATATTTAGCTCCTCGGTTCATAAAAATATCTTTTAATTAAGAACCATGACTAAACCGGGGTGACAAAACCATTTGTCCTTAACTGAAAAGAATGCAAAAGTTGCAAACGAACTCGGATTGAGCCCAAACTTCACCAGTAAGGTTCATATATCAACCAAAGAGCATGGTTAAAATCTTGGCCTGGTTCAAGTTCTCCTTCATGGTGAACTAGGTTTCAGACCCCAAACTATCCTTAACTGAAAAACTTGCATAAGTTTTTCATCCTAAGTCTTATTGAGATGAAACTTTTCCACGATACTTATATTATTTCCATAAATCTATGGAAAAAGTTCTAAGTAAAACTGAGCTCTCCTTGATGGTGAACTGGTTTTCTTACCCCAAACTGTCCTTAAGTGAAAATCGTGCATAAGTTTTTCATCTTAAGTCCGTTTGAGATGAAACTTAGCCAAAATGATCTACATGAACCAAGGATCATCATGGTCTAACCCTCTGTTGGAGCCGCACCCCCTAGCTAGATCTATTTCCTTGATTTCGCCTTTTTGTCCTTAAATGAACAAAATGCAAATTTGCCTCCCGAGGGGGAGCAACTAGCTGAGCGGCCTGACCATTGTGTTTAAGTGGTCATGTGTGAGGGATGTGAGAAATAAAACCCCACGCCTCCCTTAGTTCAATGAGTGTTTCACTAGTGTCGTCACGTGCGGGTCCGGGGTCCGAGCCCTGCCGCTAACGACTTGAGAAGGGAGTCGCCACTAATCATCTTATAGGTGTGATTAGTCACCTGATTGACCTAGCTAGCTTAATGTGGTCGAAGACTTGGCGAGGGACCCACTAAACTTATAGGTCCGGTCTTTGCAGCCTAATTCTAAGTCCGGGAGTCGATTACGTTTGGGGAAGGATTAACACCCCCAAACGCCCGTCAAATGACGGTACCTCTAGTCTAATCTAGATCTATTACGGGTCTGAAATAAAAGATTGCTTTCAGTCTTTAATCCTATATTTTTTGCCTTTTCTTGTATTTGAGGATAATTAGACCTTTTATTACATTTTGAAAGCAAATATTAAAAACGAAATTTGAACTTGTGCCATTGAAGGGGACAAAAATGAATTTACCTTTCGCCCGGAAAGGGAATTTTAAGAAAAAGCGACGCCTTCCGTCCGGGAAGGAGTGTTTTAGGAAAAACAAATAAAAATTGGTGCCTTCTGTCCGGGAAGGGCATTTTGGGAAATAGCAGATAAAAACAAGTGCCTTCCGTCCGGGAAGGGCATTTTGGGAATAGCAGATGAAAGTGCCTTCCGTCCGGGAAGGCATTTTTGGAAAATAGTAGGTAAAAATAAATGCCTTCCGTCCGGGAAGGGCATTTTGGGAAATAGCAGATAAAAACAAGTGCCTTCCGTCTGGGAAGGGCATTTTGGGAAATAGCAGATAAAATCAAATTCCTTCCATCTGGGAAGGGCATTTTGGGAAATAGCAGATGAAAGTGCCTTCCGTCCGGGAAGGGCATTTTTGGAAAATAGCAAGTGAGAACTGAAAATTGAAAGAATTAGCCCTTTTGTCTTTGATTTTTAATCTTCATTTATTAGGAGCAACTCTTCTATTTTCTTTATTTGAATTTGAATTTCTAATTTTTTATTTTATGCTTCATTGCCTTGAAGTTCAATTAAGGGGGCAAAAATGCGTGCAATGCATGATCTGGTCTTTTTTAACTGATTGGTAAAGGGTCGTTTACTCGAATAATTTCAAAGGACCCTTCCCACGCATTATGGGGGGTATCCGCGAAAGTATCCGATCTCGGAGTAGACCCTGGGAGGTCGTGCCCGAGCACAATTACCCAAGGTCCACCCGTCATAGCGAAAAGCGGCCTTTACCAATCTTAACAATTTTTGTGGCGTGTATGACAACATAAATATATGCAAATGATCTTCTAAATTAATCTAAATTATTTCTTTAAAATTAAACTTAATTTTCTAAAAACTAAAGTTTATTAAATTGTTCAAAGTTAAACTAAATTCCTAAATTAATTTGAATATGGCATTTTTTACTTTTACTAATTAATAATTAATTGAAAAGTAAACTAAATCTTAAGATTAAGCCTTTAATTGAAACAAGTCAAAAAGTTAAGGACCAAATTAAACTAAAACCGGGGACTAGGTTGAACACGCTGACAAGATTCAGTCTTTATGTGAGCAAGTTTTCAAATACCGGCCTATACTTACACCAAATTATTACCTTAACGACCCAATTGAATGAAATTTAGGGATTAAATTGTATGAAAGACTAAACAGTTAACCTAACAAACTAATAAGTAACGATTTAATGCAAAATCATAATAAAGATTAAATAAATTCCAAAAAGGGTAAAGGAAATTTGGGTTTGGTGGAAGTATAAATACTAACCACCTTCCCTCATTTCAAAACTCACCAAACCCTAGCCGAATCGCCGCCGTCGCAGCCGCCGCCACCGGAAATCGCAGTGCCGTGCCGAAGGACTCCCAGTCGTCGGATGAAGCCGGAAACGAGCAGATCTCCTCGCCTCGACGCGCTGAACACGGCTCCGGTGGTGGTTTTTCGAGATCGAGTCTCCACTACCCCAGAACCCAACTCACCCGAAACTTAAACCCCGCACAGATCCGGTGAATCTAACCGTCGGATGACCCCCATCTCGAACTATGTTGTTCTTCTATCCTAAGCCTACCCCTTCACCGAATCAATTTCCTAATCTGAGACCCTCAACACCAAACACAAGCCTACCTGAAACTTTGGAAGAAAAAAAAGGGTTGCAACCGAAGAGGGAAAGTAGGAGAAGCGGAGGGCCACTCTAGAAAAGGGAAGTGATTTTTTTGAATTTTCAGTTTTTCTTTTTTGAATTTTTCGGTATTATCGGATTTTTGGGTATTCTTGGTTTTCTATGTATCTCTGTATGTGGTTTTTGGCTGCCCTATTGCTAGACTAAGAACCTAATTTTTTTTTGAAGGATGGAACTAACTTCGAAACCCCCTCTTTTTTCAAAAAACCCCTGTTGAATCACTCTCATCGTATCTATGAATGCTCCTTTAAAAAAAACCCTGCCTCTGTTTTTCTTCTCTTTATAAATGGCTCAAAAGATCTAGGAACCAAATTCCCTCTTTCTCCTTATAGGGCTTCTGAAAACCCACTCTGTCTTTCTCTGCAATTTCCACTTGCAGGGTGTTTATTGCCCGCGGCTTGTCTTTTGCTCTTGGTTTGCTGTTTTTTTTTTTTTTTGCATTTTGTTTGAGCTTGGTAGTGGGGTGAATCTGTTGGTGGCAGATGCATTGTTGTGTGCAGGGTGGGTACTAGGCATGTCTTATTTTGTTTGTTCCAAATTAATTTTGGTTGTCTTTCTTGCAGGTACCCAAACGTGAAGAGCTGTTGGCTGATCCCAAGCAATTCTCTCTGCTATTTTGTTTACTTGTGACAGTTAGCTGGCCAGTGAGGAGCTTAAGATGACTTGGAAGGTAATTACCCCTTTCCATATTTTCTTTGTCTCTTTACTTATGTGTGATGGTATATTTGTCTAAATGCTACAATAAAATGCAATATAATGTGCCCTGTTGTGATGGTGCCTTTTTACTTTTCTTGGAATGTAAATGCATGTGTATAGCCTGCATGCTAAGTATGTAACATATCTAAGTTAAAATAAAACAACTTGGAGCTACTGATGTTGTGATTATGGGGACTGCCATGTGTGGGAGTGCAAAATGCATTTTTTTTGGGTGATTTTTTTGATGAAACATGAAATGCATGCAACTTGATGTGAAAGCTAGAGGTGCTCTGTCCTTATTAATGACCTGATGGGGCTATGAAGTGCATGTGTGACATGGAAAATGCTCATTAAGGTGTAGCTTAGCTATGATTAGCTGCTGTTTCTTCATGCCAGTTCATGCCAGTTGCTATTTACTAACATATCTGCTCTTGTTTCCCAATGGCTTCATCGGCATATTAAGGCTGAGACTGAATCTCATGTCTTGTGCTTGATATAGCCAATAGTAATTCTTTTCCCCCAAGCATGCACGCACTTTTT